TTGTCAATGTTCTCAATGCTGTCTTCAACCCTGAGAATCTTCTTCATCTGAGGGCTTACCACTGATGTGCACAGTAGACTGGTTGTTGACCAGTTGTGAAGATTCCTGTACTGACAGCCCTTTTATAGGCTGATGCTTCTCCTCCAGAATATATGGAACCAATTTTTCAGTTTCATGGGTAGTTGGTTTTAAGCCAATGGTTAGATTCCCAAAAGGTTTTATGAACACCCGAATCATACACCGACATAAAACGATCAGCAGTATTGGTGTACAGCTGGCAAATAAGTTGACTTGATGTCTGTCTACTGATGAAGTAAAGCGTCATATAATGTGGAATTCAAAGCAAGTTCAGAGATGTGTTTATCATTCATAACTTCACACTTCAAGTCATCAAGCACTAAGACATTATTGTTCCGGGCACCAAAGTAATTGTTATCCTGTAAATTGTAGGGGATGTCTTCACAAATGTCACATAGGGTAACATTTCACTGATTGTCTCGTATAGAGGTGACCCGTGAAGATCCGGGGTAGAATAGATCTTCAGCGACCCAAGCTTGCTGTAACAGGCGACTATGCTTGTTGCAACAGGCGACTAACGGGATCGGTTGGTCAGGCTCGCTGACTTAATTGATGCATGTCATCGATCCCAATTGTATGGATCGATGCTTATGATATTAATCTCTGGATTGTCTGGTCCAAACTCGCTTATTTACAGACCGCCGTCATATAGCTGGAATATTGCTGAGTGCGGCATGAAACAACAAACCAACCAACCAACGTATAGAGGTTGCCAGTCTGTATAACACCAGGCGTTGGTGTCATAAATCCTGCTTGAAGCACTTGAAAGACATAGTTTTGCCACATCCCCACCCACAAAACATAATTAGAAGGGGTGGTTAACTTGAAGTTACGCATCATGCCTTAGAAATACTGTGGCCTTGGATTCTCTAAATGTTGACCGTCTGGTTGTGGTGGTGATTGTGGTTGTGGTGTGGTGATAGTGGTGTTGGTGATGATTGTGATTGGGCTGGTGATTGTGGTGTGGTGGTGCTGGTGGTGGAGGTGGTGGAGATTAGTGTGGTGATTGTGGTGGTGTTGGTTGTAGTGGTGGTTGTGGTGGTAGTGGCGTCAGTCTAATGTCTAATCATAGCAACCCTTTGGAGAATGTCTTCCCACACTCTGGACACAATGTTGATCTCATGGCGGATCAGCTTGAATTGACAGCTCGACATATATTCTTGCCCTTTCATACATTGTGAACTGTTAAACTTCTTAGGGTAGCCCACCCATTTCACAAGGACTTTCTTCTGACCATCTCTCTTTCTTTTCTTAAATATTTTCTCCATTAGCCACATGTTATTAGCATTTCTTTTTAATAAAAAACTACCGTGAACCGGATCATCAGCCCTACCTTTCGCTTGATAAACAGGTATCTCATCTCGATAGTAACGCTTTCGAATGATAAAGACTTCCTCCGTCTATTTTTTTTGATTGTCTCTTTAAAACGTATGTTTCACCTGAGACCTTCGTACTTAATCACCCTCTTTAGACTTGAAGTGTTTTTGTTAAAGGCTTATATTTGGTTTGGGCTTTAGATTTGGTAGGTTTGATTAATGTATCAATGTATTGTTCTTTTCATACCAAAGCTTCATTCTTGTCTAATGGTGTTCTTTAATTCAGTGATCTGTGTGGTCTGTGATCGTATAGACTTTAACCAAAATTTGTAGTACATCCAGATAATGATACGTTTGCTCGTGAATTATCTGAACATGGTAGGCTTGAGGGTACGAATCACGCGCTCCGCATAAGAGGATTTGGTTTCATTCTTGGTCACATAATACGTAAATCCCTCACTTTGTAAATGTCCTTTCACTCTGTCGTTATTAAATACACTGCCTTTATCCGACCTTTTGATTTTTGGCAAAGGAGGAGTTGTAAATATTTTCCTCATGGCTTTGACCACAGGGTCTGGGGTCTTCCTTGTCATGGGTTTAACCCATGGATATCTTGAAACAAAATCTATTTCTGTTTACAAGTACTTGACATTATCATTGTCCGAAGCCATGTTGGACACGTCTGCTAAGTCTATATCCCACCGAGCATTCAAACCTGTAGCCACCACTCTGTTGCACTTGAACGTATACCTCAGAAGCCTCTGAAGCAAATAGGCATCCTGGGAAGCAAGCCACGTCTTAATGCGATGTTATACGATATCAAATATCCTGCTTATTTTACTTTACTGACTTGTCACGGCGAAACATTTCGTTCAAATGACTCAAATTGATTTTTTGAGGGGTAGGGCTTATGAATCAAGCCTCGTTTTATACAAGTTATTTTAGACTCAACAACCATATATTTGGCACCCAGCCCGTTTATTTACGAAATACTCTCTCATGTCAGCTTTCCGCCTATGGTTAAAGATCATATTATTGTGTGACACTCAGTGAACCCTTGTTCGCAAAGAAAGGAAGAGCTACAAAATTATTTGACATGTTCATTTGTGTGAATTTGTATGAAGAGTGTAAAAAGTAAACAGTTTTATTACAGAATTCTCTTCTTTTAGACATGTACGTGTAAATGTCAAATGATATCTTTCCTGCAGTGAAATTGTTCCTTTGTACTACTTTTCTCTAGGGGAATTATTCCCATGGAACAGGGTTTTACTCACAAAATGTTACCAGGATGCATTCACATTGGCAATATTTGTTCGGGCGGAATTAATTCCACGTGGAAAGAGGCCATCTTTAACGTCATCATGTCATATGAAGAATGAGATTATTTCAGTCGTTATGTCAAATTCTCAAACAGCGAGAAGTTTCGTAAAATCCGTAGGAGTCTCGCGTGTAATAATCTCCAGCTGATTCATGACGTGTATTGATGAGAACACGTACCCTCCTTGTTGAATGTATAAACACACCTATCTTGAACTATATGAATAATAAATCAAGTGAAAGTATCTGTAATTATACCTCGAGCCTATGGGCCGACCGTTCAAGACCTAATCCGCCATATTGAAAACCCTCGCTCGTTAACAGAGGATGTAGAGCTTTCACGTTGAGAGACATCGCCGTAATCAAACTATTGTTTCACTGACGTCATACAGATCATCTCTGACGTCACGTCCAACTAGGAGAATCTTCGTTTCTGGGAAATATCCTCAGGCGATCAAGTCATAAAAGCAAACGACACAATAATGTCGCGAATAAGCTGGCGTGAAGCGAATTGAATTGTTCTCAATTTTAATTGCAGAAAATATCACCCATTGAATCTACCTTTTCCAATTGACACAAATCACATCGAAGACATAACGTAAAGAGTTAACATATCAATAAGAGAAAACTGGATAGGGTACATTAAACCGAGAGTTTGATACACATGCAAAGGCAAGTCAATTGTCAAATAGAGAATTGCATCGGATATAATAGATGTTGATAGCTTTATTGGGGCCTTGAATGTTGTAACCCTGACCAAACAACTTTGGAATGCACTACAATAGGTATAACGCTGATCAATTATGCTTCTCTGATGTGCGAGTTGATCAATGGTGCCTCTCGGATATATGAGTTGATCAATGGTGCCCCTCGGATATATGAGTTGATCAATGGTGCCTCTCGGATATCATAATGATGCGTTTTTGATGTATAAATTGATTAATGACGCGTTTCTGATGAAATCTGAGTTGCTCATTGATGTGTATCTGATGTATGCGTTGAGAAATGATGTGTTTCTGATGTGTGTGGTGATCAGTCTCTGATTTAGGAGTGGATCATTGACGCCTCTCCTCTATGAATTGCACATTTATGTGTGTGTTCATCAATTATGCGTTTCTGGTGTATAAGTTGATCAATGGTTCCTGTCGCATATAGGTGTTGATCAATGACGCCTTTGTGATCAATCACAAGGATGCGTTTCTGATGTGTGCGTTGATCAATGACGGTTCTCTGATGTCTGAGTTGATCAGTGATGCGTTTCTGGAGTGTGCGTTGATCAATGATGTGTACCTCATGTGTGCGTTGATCAATGATGTGTATCTGATGTGTGCGTTGATCAATGATGTGTATCTGGTGTGTGCGTTGATCAATGATGTGTATCTGATGTGTGCGTTGATCAATGATGTGTATCTGATGTGTTAGTTGATCAAGGATGTGTATCTGATGTGTTAGTTGATCAATGATGTGTATCTGATGTGTTAGTTGATCAATGATGTGTATCTGATGTGTGCGTTGATCAATTATGTGTACCTGATGTGTGCGTTGATCAAGGATGTGTATCTGATGTGTTAGTTGATCAAGGATGTGTATCTGATGTGTGCGTTGATCAGTAATGTGTATCTGATGTGTATTCAATCGAGAAATTTATTTCTATATAAATGTGTGACGAAAATAACTTCAACAGAAAATGGAGACTTTTATTCTCAGCATTCGATTCTAAGTTGTTTGTTGATACCTGCTGTGTTTGATTCTGATTGTGTGTTGCAACCTTTCTAGTTTGAAATGTAACACAGCTTGTTTCAAAATCTTTAAATTTAAAAAGAAATGTATTGTGTCTTCCTATTGCAAACCGAAATATTTTTTGACTGAAAACTGCATTACTCTACAGCTCTGGGAAAAACAAAAAAATAAGTTTTAAAAAGTTGATTAATGGCACCTCTGTGACGTATGAGTTGACCAATGAGGCCTCTCCGATTATGAGTCGATCAGTTTTGCATTTCTAATGTGTGAGTTGATTAATGATGCGTTTCTCATGAACGAGTTGACCAATGATACGTTTCCGATGTATGAGTTGATCAATTATGCGTTTCTGATGTATGAGTTGATCAATGATGCGCTTTTTATGTGTGAGGTGATGAGAGTAACTGAGGCATGAGTTAAGTCAATATACACTCAGTTCTAACGGAAACATGATTCGCATAAAAAAAAATGACAGTGGATACAGATCCATAACATTATTGATGATATCTGTCTCTTTACATGCGATATGTCAATCAATATCATCATGAACTAGTGTACTAGGATCACCGTCGTATTTACTGGCATTGCCTTGGTTTCACAGCATGCTTCAGTGGCCTCAGTCAATGATGGTACAGAAAACACATCAGCTCTTCAAAAACTCCATTACTAACTTTTTTGATTTTGGGTTTTTCTTCTACTACATCGATACCTGCATATACCACATCGAATTAACAAGTATAACTCCGCAGTTAGGCATCCTATAAGGTTCTTGTTTATATATGAGGGTTGATTAACATCGATTTTTGGTGAATCTACATCTATAAAATTATATATTGCCCACATGAAAATATATCACTCTTACCTAATACCTTCAATGTGAGGCTTGGAACGTATTTCAAATAATCAGAGTTGTTCCGATAGTTGAGTGCGTTAATGAAAACACAAAAGTATCGCGATCGATAAAGTCTAAGTGGGACATCTGATTCTTGCCATGACGACTTCACTTCCCGTCGTTGACGCGTCACGACGTTCACGTCTGTTGGGTATTGCCTTTGCCTGTATCAACTGTACTAGGTGTGACTACTGTGCCCGTCTCTTCTGATTTCTTAAGATCTTTGGACCTGTGTAGCGTTTACAACCATCGACAGGGAAAAGGTAAGTTGAAGACTCTCTTCAGCAAAGATTTGTTTGTTTGTTTGTTGTTTACAGCCACACTCAGCAATGTTTCAGCTGTATGAAGGCGCTCTGTAAATAATCTAGTCTGGACCGGACAATCCAGTAGTTAAACCATGAGCATCTATCCACGCAATTGGGATCGATGACATGCATCAACCAAGTCAGCGAGCCTGACCATCCGATCCCGTCAGTCGCCTCTTGCGACAAGCACAGCCGCCTGTTACAGCAAGCATGGGCTGCTGAAGATCTATTCTACCCCGGATCTTCATGGGTCACCTCTATACGAGACAATCAGTGAAATGTTTCCTATGTGACATTTGTGAACGACATTCCCTACAATTTACAGGATAACAATTACTTTGATGCCCGGAACAATAATGTCTTAGTGCTTGATGGCTTGAAGTGTGAAGTTATGAATGATAAACACATCTCTGAACTTCTTACGTGTACCGCTCACCATTGACCTTGGCAATTAAGTTGGGGGGTTTTCTCCAAACTACCAACGGCGGTACATGAGTATATACATATATACACAATACAGTACTCATAACAAGATGAAAGAAGTATGCAAAATGTTCTATTTGATTTTGTCAGTTTTACTTAAGAGTTGTAATCTGGCCAAATTTCGTAAGTCCATAACGTCACATAAGTTAAGTAATTTATACGTTTTAATAAATTTGGCCAGTAAATTTATTGGGAAATAAATCAGTTCTTTGTCGGGGAAGGGTTCCCATCTAAAGAGATGATGAACTCGTCTCAAACTGCAGTAGAACTACATTCATAGGAATGTTTCTAGGTGCGCCGTGCCATCGGGGTAAGTTCAGATTAGACGTTCGGAATTTAAAATGGGGAAAGAAGTATGTTAAGGGAGAAGAAGATAATGTTCAGGGTTTTGGCTTTCCTTGTAATGTTGATAATATTGCCCCTTAATAAGGGCCCGAGGTGATACTGTTTCTCCAGTTTTGAAAGAATTGGTCTTTTGGTATTCATTCAACATTCGAGACTAACCAGGCCTGGTGAGTGAGTGAGTGAGTGAGTTGGGTTTAACGTCGCATTAACAGTATTCCAGTTATATCACGGCGGGTCACCTTAATGTGGAAGGAAAGCCAGAAGTGATGCAGGTCTCAGACGTTTACCAATTCAAACCCACGAGCACTGGTATGGTGCTGACAAACCTAGAAACATAATCGGGGCGAATCGGGATTCGAACCCACAATCATAGGTTTCTGGTGTGCCCAAGGGACGCAACCCTGCACAGCGAATCGCGGCGCCTTAGACGACTGGGCCACTCGTGCCCCTGGGAGTGGTGAACACTAAAGGATAATAGAATATCTGTTTTATAATGTGAAAGCATGGGTGAGTCTTCGAATTAACGTCACTGTTAAATTCGATAAAATTATACAGCATATGACATAATTTGGGAGGACCATTTTCAAAAGAAAGCTTATTCCAAAAGGATATTACTCGTTTACAAACTCTAAAATTAAAGTTTCCCGCCCCAATTCATCATAGACCATAACATTTGGTGTTGAATTTCTGAGATGTATCGGCTGGACTATTTAGGAATTTCAGATGCACTCGTTCAAACATTTCTACATTTTAGGTACAACCAAGGTATAAAAGCTTTTGAGGCATTTTCATTTAATATATTTGGTCTATAGACAAGTCACCTGTTCCCATGTAATTGGATTCCAAGGTATGTAAGACTATCAATAATTTCTGGAACCGTTTTTTCCAAAAGAGAAATTTTAATTTTTTCAAATATGCATTGGTGTATTTCAGACAAAAATGTTAATTACGGCCATAAACCGTTTGCGAAAATCTGATCGAGCTGGGGATGTAATACCATTATCATCTTGAAAATTTGATGTTCATGTGTTCAGAATCTGGGTGAATAATTTCCCGAAACAACGTAATAATGTTATTGGTCTATAAATGATTACCCTTATTTTCGTAAATAGGTTTTATTATGCCTGTTAGCCATATACCAGGCAGTTACCCAACAGGTGAACACTAGATCAAAATATTCAGAGCAAGGAGGAGTTAAACGATCAATGGTATAAATGATATATCATTTTCAACGTAATTTAATGCTCTCCAAGGGATAGCCATCGCGGTCAATTAGTGGCGATGCAAACGAGATATACTGGTCCAGCAGCTTGCATATTATATACATTTTCCTGTTAAGCTTGTGAAAAATATATTAAAAAAGTATAAAGACGTATATGCACTGTAATACATGTAGTTCCCTTGCAGCTTGTTTAATTTCTTCTGTTGATATTCTCGTATTTTATATTTGGCAATCATACACTTGTCTGTCTGTCAAATTTCGTCAGGGTTATAATCGATGTCATTTTCTCGGGTTGGTTTAATGTTTCAAAGAAATTATAGAAAGCATCAATATCTGGCTCTGAGGCATTTGATTGTGTGTTGTTTTTATTGAAAAACTTCCAGAATTCTCTTGGTAAATGTTTAAGATTTCCCCAAGTGTTGTATTTAATTAACTTCTATACTGGCGTATATGTTTATCCATGTCAAGCTTTAGTATCTTAGTATCGCCTTATTTATTTGACTGTTAGATTTCTTCAGACTTGTTTTCGATATTTAAAATTTCTTAACTCAGCTTAACTTCTACAGTCTACAAACCAGGGATTATTTTCCTTCTGCTTTCTCTTCAATACAGTAAATCCAAATGTTTTGCTAGCGTCAGCAAGTGCGCTATTTCCTCGGCAAGATTGTTCAAAGGAACTGGGTCACGAAGAGTTGTGCGGGCTTCAGGAACTGACTGTTTTAATCCTTTGTGCGGTGGATATCTGTATTGTGATGGAATGCATTTGAATTTTCCTGCTTATAACGTTTTATTCTTCGCTATTTTGTGGATTAAGTGCTATTTTGTCTTCAACTGGAATATATATAGGAATTCAAAATGAACATCACAAGACAATGCACGTCTGATAACAAATGTGAGAAGTCCATTACTTTAGAGTCCACAAAGAGGGGTAAAAGAGATGGTGATGCTATTGTATAATCTCTAACACGAGTATCTCTACATGTTGATTCACCAATCATTTTTTTCTTTACCGATTCTACCGTTGCGTACAAACATATTTAAATGTTTAAACATTTCAAAGTTAGGCATCACTGTAGACATGATAAACTGTACTCTCACTGTCTGAGATAGTATTACACAAAGATATAGTGTTTACATCAACTGTTGTGGCATCACTGTAGACATGATAAAGTGTAGTCTCACTGTCTGAGATAGCATTACACAAAGATATAGTGTTTACATCAACTGTTGTGGCATCACTGTAGACATGATAAAGTGTAGTCTCACTGTCTGAGATAGCATTACACAAAGATATAGTGTTTACATCAACTGTTGTGGCATCACTGTAGACATGATAAAGTGTAGTCTCACTGTCTGAGATACCATTACACAAAGATATAGTGTTTACATCAACTGTTGTGGCATCACTGTAGACATGATAAAGTGTAGTCTCACTGTCTGAGATACCATTACACAAAGATATAGTGTTTACATCAACCGTGGTGGCATCACTGTAGACATGATTAACTATACTCTCAATGTCTGAGATAGCATTACACAAAGAAAAAGTGTTCACATTATGATTAACTCTAGGCATTTGTAGCAAACACAGAGGTGTGACAGCGCCTGTGTTAATTCCTGTTTACCTCATGGGTATCACACATTACTTCCCTGTTATGATCGTATGTCGACTTTGGCCACCGATCCTGATTTGAATAATAACTATGAAAATAGTCATATTCCCGGGGTTTGTCTACTTATGATAATGAACAGAAAGTAAAGCATTCCTTTAGTACGTCTCTTAACAAACGTATTTGTTTTATTTTGTATCGACATAATTTTTAAAAGATCACATTAAAGCAAGTATGCAGCAGAAAAATAACCAAATAACCAACATGTTTAACGGAATAATGTTTTGATGCAGACTGACAACAGCATATTGGCACATCAACACATCGCTTATATTCAATAAACGGCAATCCATATGCATTGTTTGATTTGCTTTGAAAGAAGTTCTGGATCTCAACATCTCACACCAATGAGTTCCAATAACAACGTCTTTAGAGATAAGAAACGTTGTCTGACATCATCGATCGTTCCAGGAAACATCGAACTTCCTATGAATTAGGAGGCTAAAACAAGGACTGGTCGGCTCGGAGTCAGTAAACTGTGTCTGAGTGGGGTATTCATATTATACTGCGGCATGGAATCTCAGTGTGCTAGCACTTTAAATCGGCATCAGTCCGAACAAATACAAGCAGCCACACACACACGTGCATGCACGTCGCTATATAAGTGCAATAATCTTGGACGCGACGTTAAACCCAATTTCATCTCACCTCCTATAAATTATCTTCATATGAATGAGTAAATGACGCCGATTTTATGATAATGTGTTTTTTCGCCTCTGAAATATATCCTAATGTTGCCTTTACGGAAGATAATGTTGAGTTGCAGTTTATACGCTGAATCTTAATACTGCCTTTACCGAAGATAATGTTGTCTATATGCTCTACTTGGTTGACAGAAACATTCGATCCCGAATGGTATCTCACTACAACTACAAAATACCTGCATGAAACTAAAATTGCAGTACAAAGATACCAAAATTGTTGCATTGAGCTACATAGTATATCCCTGTATGTTCTTGTATCAGCGTATATGTATTATGTTTTCTAATGATAATGAGATCGCAGTATAAATTCAATGGTAAATATAGATGTAAGCAGCAACGTCAGGTTCCAGTGACACCTTTACCTACTGCTGTATCAAGATTGAGATAGACGCCCAATCGTATGGCCTCACCTTTGCTTCATCAGAAACGATAGCAATGAATTAATGTTCTTCGAATTCATTGTTTTAGCTCATACGTTTGGTCCTATAAGAAGAAAATTAGTAGTCCGTAGATCAGTTTGATTGTAGAAATAAT